TTTGACAGATACCCTTCAACTAGCATCACATTTCGTTATTGAACGTAGCTTTAGTAAGTTGTCGAACGACTCTCCCCAATTTCAAATGTCTACGGAAAAAGACTTGAGGGAAGTTACGACTTCATACCAGGATTCTACAGGTCGACGGCGGCGTCGACGTCTGTTGGCTCCGGTTGAGTTTAAGTCTCCATCAGTAAAAGCCGAATCCTTCCCAACAAAACCTGAAGTAATTGTTCACTAGCCACAATCAGGTTTTGTGTGGTAAGCAAACATCAAACAAAGGCGATTAAAACATTTTGCGGAGGCATTTTGCTTTGCGATCAGTCCTTCAAGAGAAAAGACATAAAAGAAAACGCACTGTCACGAAATCTCAGCATCTATTTCGATTAATTGACATTTCTGGTTACAAAAATATTTCGCACTTCTCAAGTGCAAACGCTATTACGAAAACAAAAACTTCGTCATTACAAAATTTTCCATTCGTTTTCCAAATACCAAACCAAATTTTTTGCGCGCTAATATCGCTATAATCCTAGTAAACTCTATACATCCGAAAAAAGCTTAATGAATGCAGTTTGCGATAAAAATATTATTCAAGCAAGGTTTAGAAAGTGTCAGGACCTGATAAGGAGCGGAACGACCGAAGGTTCTCCCATCGAATTTATCGGGTATCGGATGCCACAGCACAAGCAAAATGGCAGCACAATCTTGATTTCAGATCGTAATGCGACTGCAGACCACAGACTGGGTACAAAACGCAGACTAGGTACAAAATGCAGACTGTAGACTGCATACTGTAGACTGAGTAAAAAATGGAGACTGAAAATTTTAAATGCTTTCCACATTTCGTATCCGATGTGGTTTTTGGTTTTTCCTATTTGGCTTCCGGTTCCTCTTCGATCTGACTGAGCAGCAATTATGCGCCTTCGCTAATCTCAAATAGCCGCGAAAAGCAAATGTAAAGAAGTATGCGTGAAAAACCAAACGTCACCAAATGATTCATTTTAGGTGAAATATCGCGGGGATCCGTAAGGGCTCATTCGTCTTGAAAGTTGACCTCGTATATTACCACAGTAAACGTCCAGCAAGTCTCTGCTGACTCAATCATGTGCTGATTGCGACGAGTATTAATCAAATTACCTCGAAGAAGAGGCGAATTACATTTCACTGTCGCGGCATTACTTCGGAAAGTCTATAGAGGCGTTCTGGTATTATTCCGAAGAGTCGATATGAGTTGGTCTGCCGTTGACATAACGATTTGTTTACATCTGATGGAGTGACAAATTTGCATATTCTAACCCTTACAGTGCTTGTTCCACGCTTTGCGTATTCACGGATAATAGAAACTAACCACATCATAATTCGCAACCAAAATTTACAAAATTTCCGTAAATTTCGTTTACTCTGATTCGATAAGCTTGGATTTGATATTTAAATACCTTATGATGGGAAGTGTAATGAACAAGTTTTATGACTCGCTGACTTCAAATGAATCGCACATGAAAAATAGTTTTGTAATTTTTTTCCCTCGTCAATAGAAAATGCAGTATTCTCCTCAATAAGTAAAAAAGCAGAGGATATCACATATGGACAAAAAGCGCTATATTTAATCGATGTAAATACTAGGTATTTGTATGGAAAAGTTGAACCACCTTGATGCTGCTCTTAGTTTCTTTAGCTTGTTCATCTATGTAATAACTGAGTAGATCTTTGGCAGTTAATTGACCCGCCTTGACTTTCAAATTTGCTAAGTGTGGGTCAACTTATTCTCAAATTTTGTCATGAAATGGCCAAAGTATTAGTTTCAGAATATCTACTTACGCCGTCTAGACAGACTACGAGAAGGACAATACTGAGGAGACAGAGCGTTTGCTCCTGCTGCACTAGCCCTTCTAAATGCTTTAACAGCCAACTCTAGGGCGGAGAAGGATGAAAGCTCAATTTGATAATGGAAATAGGTTCGCGATGGTTTACTCTCTGAAGAAAATGTTTCATGGGAAGTGATATTAGACTACTTCAACCAGTTTAGACAAGAGGTCACGTTGTAGTTTAACTTTCTACATCCACCGCACGTTTCAGATGTTTTCCCCCATGAAGCCTTCGCCAATTTGCTCTTTCTATTTCGTAAATGAAATATATCTCTGCATAGTTTTGGTGCTTCAACAATCCACTTAAAGAGATAGGAATATTGAAAGTTGTCACCTACCTGAGTAATGGACTACACCAAGAAGTACAAGGAATCGACAAACGAGGACAAACTTCATAATGGATGTCTCATTTTACCAAGAGAATATTGAGCCAAGAAAATACCAAGAGAATATTGAGAGTATTGAGCCAAAATGTCTGTTTTCCAGCTATAGTTTCAGCTTATTTTCTCCTACGCGACATAAGAAAGACTACGTAATTAAAGTTACCCATAGTTCTCTTCGCCTTTCATGGTACGATAGTTTTANTTTTTGAAAGCAGGTAGGTTACACAAAATGAAGAACACAATGGCCTTGATCGAGTTAAAAGGAACTGAGAATAAAGAGCCTAGTCGTCAAGTGTTTGATTTTTCCCAAGTGATATTCCCGGAGTTTAAGACTTTATCTCAGTTGTAACATGAATAAGGTCGTCGTTTAGGTTACAAAGAAAGATAGAAGCTTACTTGTTTCAAATACTTGTGCAAAAGAGTAAAAGAGTGAAAATCGCACCTAGCAAAAAAGTTTTGAGCTCTCTGTGAACATTTCGATCGGCTGGAATGTTCGTCCGGGTGAGCGAATAGTCCTGAGAAAAACTGCTGTCGTTGAGGATTTGTGACGTTTCGACAACCTTTGCCGATGGTATCACCCCAGTGGATTGAATAATTGTTGTAAGTTGAGTTTACAATGTCCAGTTTATTTCAAATGAGTGGTTAGTTTTACCGTGATGTTGCTGCTGCACATGTACCTCCGGCATGGGAGAGAAACATGTACACGAATAAATGATGCCACAGGGTTCAGTATTTGGTCCGCCGCTGTCCAACCTTATATCTATGATCTTTTGCCGTTTTCAAGAGACTCGGCATGTCAAATCGTTTGGATGACAACCAGCTATACTTTACAAGCGAGAGGTTTGAGAGTATCAGTGAACAACTGACAACTTAGTGCCTTAAAAAGGAAGAGAAACGAGAGTATAATTGTCGAGAAAGGAGACATTTATTACATTAATCCACCGTTTCAGACAATAAAAATCAATCAAATTAAAAATTAATAAGATTAACCGTCTAGCGCAACATGGCTTGCTCTACCCAAAAAGCGTTTAACGCAAAGATAATTTTCCTGGATTCCTTAAACTTGTTGAAACAAAGTGTTCAAATACTTAGCAAACTTGCGGCATCGCAGCTCAGTTGCTTGACGTTCGAAACTACAAAAACTGGGAGGCACAGGTTCAAATCCCATCAAAGCCTGATATTTCTCAGGCTGTTTTTCTGCAATGCTTAGATTGCTGCTTGCCAGTGAGGACCATAGCTTTATTTGAAACACCAGTTGGATTCACTCAATATTCAATTAAATATTTCAGTCATATGATAAAGCGACGTGAAATACACCCATACCAGATAGAGACAAACTATTTTTCAAGGTAATTTTTCAGTGCATTTTTAATCACATCGTGGTAATTTAAAAACGGTTACGTCAATGATTAAAGGAACATTTTAAGACCAAAATAACAATTATTTACTTAGCTGCTAAAGGAGTGAAACAAATAGCAGTTACAAAGTACTCATGAGGAGGCTGGACTTTCTACATCATAGACGGCAGTCCTAATTCATTCCACCGCACGTTTCTCTATGATCCGACTGCATTTAAGAGATTCTTTGGGAAAAAAGAAGTTATCGAAAAATTGTTTTCTTAACTTTCCTTAAATGTTCCTTACCAGTGGCTGTTTCGAAAATGCGATAAAAAAGATTGATTACCTTGCTTGTTTACAAGATATGATGGGCAAAACTTACCCCATTGATGCCTGTACTGGCACTAATCACGCGCGATAGATAGAAACTCGGGCGCGTATGGAACAATTTTATGTATGATTTGTAATAAAATTCAAGGTGGCTCGTACCAGTTTCCTTGCACGGGGAACAGGTCACTCTTGCGTGACGCGCGCGAGACAAACGTGCGAAAGAAGCGCGAGATCAAAAGATGAAAATTCAAAACAAAGATGGCAACGCGTACAATTTTTTCTACTTTTGTGAGAAGTTTACCTAAGAGCTTGTATTTGATGTGTTGAGCGACTACTGTGAATGCAGGAGATAGGAACTAAGATAAAGAAGACGAGTTTTGGAGAAGTAAAGGTTGCTTCAGTTCACATTTAAAAGAAATATTCAACCGATATGAAATCTTGCGACGGCGTAAAAAGAAGAACTCAAGTGAAGGATAATCTACCTGAGGTGGAAGAAGACTTTGAAACTTAAAGGAGAATAATATGATTTATTAAAAACTGGATCATTGGATAATGCAATTCAAGACTTTTTATTGGCTTAGCCATTATGGTGTATCAGCCAATATACCATAATCTATAAATATGGTAAGCGTACGCATCAGCTTAAAATCAAAAGGGAGCTAAAAAATCCAGTTTCTTCTTACAAAATAATAATTTCTTGGGGGCGTTTTTAATAAAACAATTATTCCACTCGCGCTTGTTGGATATGAGATGATTATAGCCAACTCGGCGCTACGCGCCTCGTTGGCTATCTATCATCTCATATCCAACGCGCGCTCGTGGAATAATTGTTAAATAGCCAGAAGTCGTGTGTAGGATTTTTAAGAAGAGCCCGGGAGGCTATCTTTGACAGCTGTTTAATGATTTTCTTAATTAGCAGTAAACGTCTGTAAACATCAGATCGTAGGGCG